AAAGAATTAAGAAAAAAGAATTTTAGATTTATGCATCTAGGATTAATTGTAATAGGAATTAAAGGATTAATGAGAAAAAATTTAGGAAATAAAGTTTTATTAACTATTTATGATGAAAGAATCCAAAATATAGAAAAGAGTATGATAGCTAGTACAGAAGTAGATATGAATGATAATAATGGAATTATATATTGTAATCCAGATTTCTTATTAACCATAAAAGATTTTTCAGAAAAAATTAAAATAGGAATTCAAACACATGGATATGAAGATGTTGTTTCAGGAGAAAATTTATTAATAAGTATAGGATTTTTAGGAAGATGTAGTAATAATTCTCAAACAAAATATAAATTATACATAGATAAAGTAATAAATTTAATGAGTAGTAAAGGAATAAAAATGATTAAGCCTAAGACTTATGACCAAGTCATCGAGAGACTCTGCCACTCGCGTAAAACCATTGAACATTTGATTCTCTGTTATCAGTCCCATGCTAAAACACTCTCGAAGTAAACCCCATAATCTCTCGTTCTTATTCTCCATAATTGTTACCAACGATTTCTTTATAACCTCGTGGTGAAAAAATGGCATTCCGAGCTCTTTTATGCAAAGATAAGCTTCTCTCGTCTCCCCACCAGACTCGAACTCCTGTAATATCTTTCCAATTTTGTCCTTCACGTCTTCAATTGTTCGTCCATTGGTGCAGCTTCCACCACCGCCCCAACACCTTAATATCCTCTCCCCAGAAAGTCGAGCTTTCAGCAAGGAGGTTGCCGTTCGAGTAACTCTGTTTCCTATTGTATCTGACCCCGAAAACTCACTCCCAATCTCATCTAACTGTTGTGGAGTCAATACTTCATCCACCACTGCCCTTGCCAAAAACATTGCTAGATCCTCAACTACACCAGGGATATCGAGAGCAGTGTCTTCGGCTGATTCTAGTAACATAATAAATCCGTTAACCACATAATCCGTTGGGAAGCATAACGATAATAACAAAACAGAAGCCATTTCCTTCTCTCGATTTTTTCTGTCCATGGCCAAAGTAATCAGTTTCTTCACAAATATTGCGTTTAGTTCGGCCATAGAGGAAACTTTCTCGGATTCTAAACAATGGCTTACCTCAGAAATGTCACCAGACAAAAAGTACTCCTTAATTATCGACTGAGCCTTTATCTTGAAGGATTTAATCGTACTGTCTTCAACGGCTTGATTCTTGGGCTGGAATGACAGTGACTTCAAAGATGAGGCACACAACCACCCTTCTGATGCTGCTTTCGAGATCAAAGACTGTAATATCACCTTTGCATTTGGTATATCTAGAGATAAGTCATCAACAAAGTCGATAATTCGGCCAAATCCCTGTGATATTTGACTTGAATTAATAAGACCTTCTTCAGCGGCTCCCTTCAGCAAGTCTAGAAGGCAATTTTCGGCTTTTCTTTTTTCCATTGCCATTATGACAGCACGCTTGACAATCTCGTGGTGGAAGTAAGGAACATTTAGATCCTTGATGCATCTACATGCCTCGTTTACATCGCCACTCACTACATACTCGATCAATAGGTTATTAATCTTACCCTTTAATTCTTCAACCGTTTTGTTCTTGCCACCTGCCCAACGCCTCTCAATGGCTTCTACATGTAAAGGAGCCGACAAATAGCACTTTTCAGCACTTCTGATGACATCGATCCCCTTCGAGTCCTTACTGAAACAAGCCATTGCTTTTGTCAAGAACGAGGGAGGAAGTATGTCATCAACCACCGCTCGAGCAATAAATAATGCAAGAATATCAACTGCATTTGGTATGTCTACAATCAAATCATCAGTAGACTCCAAGAGCTTCTGAAACCCTTTATAAACTTGGGAAGGATCAATCACATTTCCATAAAGTGAAGATAACAAAACTGCAGCCATTTCTTTTTCTTTGTCATGCCTGTCCATAGCAACAGAAACAAGCTTCTTGACAAAATAATAGTTATAGCTCGACATTTCAAGTTCTATTAACTCATTGGCAGTCGAGATAGCATCATCATTGGCAAAATATTCCTCGACTATAATTATAGCCTTCCTTTTGTAATCTTCAAATTCCGAATTTTTCTTCTTAGCAATATAATTCTTGTCCTCCTGAAAATACGTATTACCAAAAATGGAGTGATTTCATGCTTTTTAACACAAATCGTTATATACAAAGAACACTACAAAACAAAAGGCAAAATTGATAATAGATGCAGGCCAATTACCTCATTGCTGCTGTAGTTTGGATCATTAAGGTCTAGGACGCAATCATCGTCTGTTTCAAGTAGCCCTCCCCAGGTTCCTTTTCCTCCACAACCATCTGCATGGCCATTACCAATAGACTACATTGGAACCCAAAATCCACAGAAAAAATCCAGTCTCCAAAGGCATTGAGCAGGATTAACAATTATTACGTAATCATAAAAGCGAAATTATGGATGCCAAGGATAAGGTAGATCGAATCAATCAGTGGAGGCACCTACTCATACTAGCCAGTCACAAACAAAGTGAAAGTGATGAAAGAAAATTAAGGGAATGGCAACTTAAATAGTTGTGACACCTGGTATGTAGACCTAAAAGTAACTCTTGTACCTAGTAGTGGCACAATTTCAGCATAACAGATCAGAAGATATGGATAAATCAAATCTAATATGGCTTATAGTAATTGTTAAATATCTAATGCCTTCAGAAACTTTGGTAAATTTAGCAATGAATTGAACAGAGTGACAAAAAAAGAATTCCCATAGCCATCCCCAGTTTTTTTGTTGTCTTTATAATCATAACCGCATGTTGATCATAAAATTTGACTCCATGTTATTATACTAACTACATAAAGAAAAAGAACTATTGTGCCTTTCTCCTTAAAAGCTATGGAAGGGTCAAGTCCGCGACAAAATAACAAAAATTAGCATATTTCACCTTTCTTTGGACGACCATCTCTCTTGGAATGCGAATGTCTTTGATTTTTGAGTGGACTCCCCGGGCTTGAACTATGCTTTCCCTGTTGAGGTCTCGGGGATCGGGGTGATTTAGGCGACTTTGGTGAAGTGGAGATTTGCAATGCAGATACAGAAGATGGATCTGCACTCTCTGAAGCTGATCGAAATTGTTCTTGATGCTCATGGGACATGTATCCTGCACTCAAATCCATTGTAGATTGATTGATTTTCTAAATTTCTCTTCTTCAGCATGAACTTTCTGCTACATTGTAGATTATTGATTCACAGATACAAGAAAAAGTTCAATAAATTCAAAATAACGATAATAAAAAAGTTGGGTGAATGTGAATACAGAGAGAATCAGTAAAATTGCCTTAATTCGGCCAAATTTGTTGCGACATAAAAGCCACTTGTGTGGTTCCAGTTTAGCCTCATTATGTGGCTAATGGCTAATTATGCCCATTCAACTTTTACTATTAATAGAAAATCCCTCATTTATATGAAACAAGAGAACTTCCTTATCCAAGTTTGTGTGTTTACATATTCGTTATCTTCCATACAAGAGATTTTTTAGTAGAAATGTATGCAGGAGATAATTGGCATAAAACATCCCTTCCTAGCGTTTGCCTCAATCATGCAAATTGTTCCAATCGTTTCATTTTTTACATTTGGATGCTCATATTGACCATGCTTTGCGCAAATGATCCTTTCCGTCTGTTTTATATCCATTTCCTTTGCTACGTAGGGGTGTACACACACATTTACATATAATCATCTACCTCTCACCGCTCTCCCACCCCAATCCTCCCTCTGAGGCGGCCACTGACGGAAGCCACCACCGGCCTACAAGTTTATGGCAGAGAACTGATGCTTAAAAAAATAAGCATTGATTCCGTAGCTAGACAAATCTTTTATTATATATGAAGACTGACTTTGAGGTTCAATAGAAAAATCAATAAACAATTAAGATATTCTCACTATCATTTTGTTCTTCTTCGCAGCCGATAAAAGGATTACTTTGCTGTCAACAATGTCATCACCCTCAATCTTCTTTTCTTCACTATCAACTCTACTATTGTTCAAGTAAAGTCCCCCCTTGCTTGAGCAGACGACGTGCAGCCGACTTACTCTCAAGCAAACCAATAGAGATCGTGAGGTTCAATAGAGAAATATTCAAGACTTCGTTAGGCCATCTCCAACGCTGCATCGAAATTTGCACCAAACCCAAATTCTTTTTCAGCCATTACACCAAAATTTACACCAAATGAACAAGGCTTTATTATTTTATTCATTCTTTCGATTTTTGTCAAACTATTTATTTAAAAAAATTATTTATTTATTTTATAATTATAATTATAATTATTTAAATTATTAAATCATAACTTCATTAAATTAACAAATATATTGATTACTAAATTATTCACGTGTTTTATATATTATGTTAAATTGACAAAAATAATTGAATACACTATTAATTTATGATAAACAATTAAGTTAAATTTACAAAAATAATAAACTTTAATCATATAAACTTTATGTTAAATTAAACTTTAAACATAAACTTTACGAATTAAACTTTATGTTAAATTAACAATTACGTTAATTATTATTGATTGTATTATTAAAAATAATAAACTTTAATAATATAATTAATAGTGTAATTTATTATTATTATTATAGAATGAAAATGACATAAATACCCTTAACTATTATCTTTGAAAAATGAAAAATAAGGATAAAACGAACATTGTAAAAGATGTTGTAATGAATTGTGTTGCACTAAATATCGTGCCACACTATTCACTTTGCACCATTTTATATTTAGTGCCACACTATTCACTTTGCACTATTTTACACCAAAATGGTGCAAAGTTGATGTTGCATTGGAGCAATTTTGTACCAAAAAATTGTGCAATGGTGTTAGCATTGGAGTTGAACGCAAGAAGCAGGAAGGAGCATCCTCAGCAATAGCCTCGATGATCCTCCAATCGAATTTGGCTTCTGCCCCCGGTCTTAAGGCCTCAGTAGCCTGCCTGTAGAAATCGACGAATAAGGTCCGTTCCTGCAGTAATATTGCCCCATTGACAATTCCCTCCAATTTGAACATTAACATCTTCGTCTCGAAAAAGGCGAAGAAAATCATAGCCCTACAGTAACTGGTAAGTGAACTCAATGTAACTCATTCCCTGCTCCGATTTGAGCCTCTTCCGTACGCTTTCTTTTGACATCATCACACCCATCCTCACAAATCTACCTACCTCGAGAAAATCTAGAAGCTTAACATCCTTCCATCAGTCGTAATTATTCAAAGTAGTGAAACACTTAGCTTCGTGATTCCGACCCAGAATCCGACTAATAGTAGTCGAAATCCCAGAAACATTCCCCTCCAATGCGAGAAGGTCGAGCTCAGGCCGCTCGACGCTTTTGCCGGAGGGATCACCAACCCAACCTGTTGCACCATCGATAAGAGCAACAACCTTATGCCCACGTCGGAGGAACCAAGAAAGCACTATTATACCAAGGAGGTTGCCCAAATGGAGACTCTCGGCAGTTGGGTCGAACCCACAGTAGACCCTAAGGGCATGGAAGCTGGGATTAGAACAGACGGATCTTAATAAATCGCTGGTGAGGGACTCCAGAAGGCCTCTTTCTTCGAGAATGTTCACAACGTTGAGCCTACTCCTAACCTCTGCGAAGTCCCCTTCCGTCGATTCTTGGACAAATTGAGTAGAAGAATAGCTTAATGATAACAGTCATTGATAAGGGTGGCGATGATGGGTGAGGCAGGGAGGAAGAAGAATGGGGAAGTGATAAAGGAATGATCTTTGATTGCAGCAGATAACGAGACTCCTCACTAAAGAATTAGTAGCCATTTTCACTCGTTCATTGAGCAGGATAGGATAGAAAGAGGAAAAGACAGAAAAACAGAAACATGAATTGAGTTGATCGCTCTCTTCTTTAGCCCAATGAAAAATTCTACTTGTAGATAATTATTACACATAATAATGTCCATAATGTGATGTGACGATTATCCGATTGTTGATGTACAAGT